GAGGTCCTAGAGGGACAATGACTTGCTCAAAGTTGCATAAGAGTTCAGGAGGGTTGTGTTGCTAGAAATCTGACCTTCTGTGTCCCCATTCCAGGGCTCTTTCCATGACATTTTGCTGATCAGTGAATGAGGCGGCTTACAGCCAGGGTAAGGTCTGGGCACCATGGGAGCTATTGAAGATTCTGAGCAGAATGAGGAGAGCATTTCACACACCAAAGGAGAGATATCAAAACAATACCTTTTCCTTTGACTGTCTCTCATGTGGCTGGAGGAGGAGGGGGACCAGGGGACTGACACTTTGAGCCCTAGCCACCTCCCAAGCAACTATCATCTCTTAGCCAGGCAATGGCTCTAGCTCCTCTGTCACAGGCGGCTGGGTCCCCAGATCCTGAGAGCTGATGTCTGATCCTGAGAGCAGATAACACTGATGGTGGAGGCGGGCTGGGGAGGATGCCAGTGGCATGAGTGATCAGATGGTGACTGTGCTGGGGCTGCTCAGATGGCCCCAGCTGCCCAGTGGTGAGGTCTGTAGGGCAGGGGGACCCTGCAGTGGAAACTCCCCACATAGGCTTGGGGACTCTCCACTCACCAACATCCTGCTTATTTATCTTCTAGGGTTTGGGACCTGAGAGAGTCAGGGATTAGGCAGAGCAGAGAGTTAAGCTTGTAGACATTGAAATCAAAGAGACTGGGGTTCAAATCCCACCACTACCATCGACTAGCTGGTGGCCTTTAGCAAGTTAGCAAGTTTTCCTTTTTATAAAAATGGGGACAAGATGAGAACCGATTTCATGGGGCTATATAAGGAGATGGTGCTCCAAAACCCTTTAGCACAATGCCACCAAAACCCAGACCACACCCACTGCCATTGAGTTGATTCCAACTCATAAAGACCCCATAGGACCCCATAAGATAGAACAAAAAGTTATAACTTTATAAAGTTATAAAGACCCCATAGGACAGAACTGACTCATAGGGTTTCCAAGGCTGTACCCTTTATAGAAGCAGACTGCCTCATCTTTCTCCCACTGAGCGGCTGATGAGTTCAAACAGCCAATCTTTTGGTTAGCAGCTGAATGTTTTAAACACTATGCCACAGGGCTCCCTACCACATTGTAAGTCCTCAGAAAGGGCTCTCCATCTGCAGTCTTTGAGCCTCAGTTTCCCATTTTGCATAGTGAGGATAACGATACCCACCCCCCTTTGGAATTGTTGAGAAGATTTCAGTGAGAAAGGGGTGTGAAAACATTTTATGACCCTCAGTTCTTAGCTTCCCAGCTGAACTATGTTGGGGGTCAAATTGAACCCCTCTTCCCCAACAGACAACCACCACCCCAACAGTGCAACTAAGTCCAAACACAGCCTGGTTGTGCTAGGGATTATGCACATTGCACCTGGTATTCCAGAACAAGGAGGCTGGGCCTTGAAAGAACCCTTATTGGCAGTGTAAACTTGGGAAAGTCATTTCAGCTCTCTGGCCCTCAGCTCCTTTCTCTGTAAAATGTAAAATGATGCAGACTTCATAAGGCTTCATATTGGATTACATATGATAGCGCATTGTAAAACACACAGCCCTCTGCCTGGCACATAGTAAATATTCAACAAATAGTAGTGATTGTTATGATTTCTAGTGCCCAACCCTAGCCTGGCACTGAGTAGGTAAAGAGAAGGGAGGCAGGACTTTGCATGAAACTCTCCCGCGTGAGTAGAAAATGGAAGGGAAGGCAGGTAAAGACCTAACATCAAGCTCCTAGTGGATACTGGGCTTGCTCACATGTTGTTGTTGCTGTTAGGTGCTATCCAATTGGTTCCACCTCATAGCAACCCTGTGTACAATAGAATGAAACACTGTCCAGTCCGACGCCACCCTCACAATCTGAGCTGTGCTCGAACCCATAGTTGTAGACACTGCGTCAGTCCATCTTGTTGAGGGCCTTCCCCTTTTTCGCTGACCCTCTGCTTTACCAAGCATGACATCCTTCTCTAGGGACTGGTTCCTTCTGACCAGTCATGACCAAAGTACATGAAACAAAATCTGGCCATTCTTGTATCTAAGGGACATTCCGGCTGTACTTCCAAGTCGGCTTTGTCCTCACAATAACTCTTGTAAGAATGGAATTACTAGCCCCATTTACAGATGGGGAAACTGAGGTCCAAGAAAGACAGTTGGCTGCCTAAGGTCACAGTGAGTGTTTTTGGCAGTGGGATATTAGGATTTGAAGAGATGTTGGATTGATTCCAGAGCTTTTCTGCTGGGCTAGGAAGCCGCCTGCAGAGGTGGGGTGGGGTAGGGCTGTGCCCAGGAGTGATTCAGGTAAGAGTCAGCTCCGGCTTTCCAAATAGTGGGTGTGGCTCGGCATGGGTGAGACTTGTCTCCAGGCATTAAAATCCAGGCCCTAGCCAGGGCCTCTTGTAGGGTGGTCAGGAGGGCATGTGATTGGTGTGGAGCAAAGGGTGGGGTTATACAGAGAGAGAAACCTCATCCCTTATCACTAGTGGGGTTTAGGGGAAGAGTCCTTCCACATGAGCTGGGAGGGGCTCAGGGCCTGGAGTGGAGCTGGACCTGTAGGTGTATTGAGGGTGTTGATCAATGGGCCTGGCTGGGGAAGGCAGGGAAACTGAGGCAAAGTGCTGACAGTTTTGGTGGTAGCCACAGCAGATGGATGTGTTGGCAGTCACATTAATGAGGCTGGGCCATCACTCATAGAGGGTCTGTATTTTTTCATCCATTCAATCAACCCCACAGACATTCATTCATTTCCTTCAATCAAGAGACATTTGCTGGATGTCTTCTATATAGGGGATCCTGTGCTTGGCTCTGGGGATACAAGAGTGATCAAGAGGCTCACATCCTAATAAGGGACAGAGAGGGGACAGCACAATCCAGCCCCAGAAACCTGAGTGTCCTCCTCTACACATTTGCTTCTCTAAAGATCCAGTGCCAATCAGTGCCAAGCCCTGGCACTTCTGCCAACATTTCTCTGCTCTCGGACTATATCTCCCCTCACACAACCTCTTGACCTGAGCCCTGTCCATGGAGGGTTGCCCTGGCACAGTCTGCTACCTTGACCACTGGCTTCTTCATTCATCGTCTTGAGATCTCCAGTGAGGTCACAGAGCCTAGCCACGTTGAGGGCTCAGTCACTACATGTTACAACTGGACCTGCCTCAGAGACCACCTGATTTAAGGTTTTTATTGTTCAAATGGGGAAACAGAGGCCTAGCAAGGTCAAGAGACTTGTCTGAGGTCACACCAGGTTAAGGTTCTTTTTCCAAACACCAGGGCCACGTATGTGTTTGTTTTTTTGTGTGTATCAGGTGCAGTGGTTTGGGAATAAGGAGTCAGCAGGAGGTCCAGGTGTGGTAACTGCTGGATCCAGGACTTGAAGGGAGGGAGTGCCTGGGAGTGGAAGGTGGGACCTAGTTTAAGCTCTTTTCTCCTTCATTGCCAGAAAGCAATGGGTAACTGGACTCCCAACCCCCAGCTTGACCCCATCCCCTTTGCTGATAATCCCATGACTCACATCTTGTCACCCTGTCAGGGTAGCTACCGAAGGCTGTGGATCTGGGCTGGTGGGGAGGACTCCAGAGCGCTACCCTTCTGCCGGCCCTACTACATCCCCTGGTCTGCTCTGGCTTGCCTCTAGCTCCTGGGGAAGCTGGCTTTTGTCCCAGTGAAGCATGGGAACAGCCCAGTGAGGTGCAGTTCTCACCTGTCTCACTTCTTCCACCTGGCATGGTTCCCTCCCTGCACTGGGGGATGCCTGGGAGCTTGCACAAGGACCTGTGTTCCTCCTGTGAGGACTTCCAGCCTGTGGGCTGCAGAGAATGGCTGGGTGTGGTGGGGAAACCTGAGATTAGAACAGAGGGATGTGGGTACTAAGAGACTCTGTGTGACCACAGGCCCATCCCTTCCTCCTTCAAGGCTCTGTTTTCCCAGTTGTAAAAAAAGAAGGAGCTGGATTCTGTAAGTTGGCCAGTGCATGTGAGCCAGGTAGACCACTGACACTAGACAGTCCTAGAGTCTGAGTTAGAGCTTGGAGAAAAATGCCTATCAATAATTGAGCATCTATTATGTGCTAAAAACTGCACCGGGAGATTTGTTGCATTTTCTCATTGAATCTTACAACAACCCTCTGGGATGGGTCTTATTCTTTTCCCCATTTTCTAGATGAGAATACTAGGACCAGAGAGGGTATGGACCTTGCCCAAGGTGATACAGCTAGTTAGCTGGAGAGTCTAAACTTGAACTCAGATCTCTCAGACCTGGAGCCTGTGCTCTGAATTTCTGGCAGTAGAAGATCTTGTGGACCTCTGTGGCATCACAGGCAGAGCCCAGCGCAAGGAGGAAGTAAATCCTCCCTGAACAGCTGGTAGTGAGTTTTCCATGCAGGGAACCTTGTGCAGGCTGGCCTATACCGTCCCTTTTTCTGGCTCTAGGAGGGGATGTCCTTCTCTGAGGGGCAGCATGTGTAATTCAGATCAACTGCTTCTAGCTTGAGGTACTCTCAGCTCTGCCCTTAATTGCTCGGTGACCTTAGCGTTGCCTATTGAGTTTCTGATCTTCAGTTTCCAATCTACCAAAGGGACGCAATTATGCTCTGGTAGCATAGTGGCTAAAGCACTTGACTGCTAACCAGAAGGCTGGCGGTTCAAACCCACCGGCCACTCCTCGGAAGGAAGGTTGGGCAATCCTACTTCCGTAGTGATACTGCCTCGGAAACCCAAGGAGGGGTCGCTATGAGTCGGGGCCCACTCGACGGCACACAACAACAACAGGGCTTTCAAACCTCCAGCGCCTTAGGGAAATTAACTCCTTCTGGGCCATCATACAATAATTAATTTTGGTTGGGGAGGGTCCAGAGAAAGTGGGCGGCGCCCGCGGTGACAGCTGGCGGGAGGGGCGGGGGCGGGCCAGTCGGGTCTGAGCACTGGGTAGTGGTGGAGACTCACCCATCCCGCGGCAGTCTGCGTCTGGCAACCATCAGCGGTCCCCCACCATGAGCCGTGAGTCTGGCCCGGGTGCCCTGCGCACCCAAGAATTCTCTTTGCTTCCTGGCAGAGCCTTGAATGCCAAGCTCAGCGTCTTGTGTGTGTCTCTCTCTCTGCAGGGAGGAGTCTCTCGCTCCGGTTCCCGCTACTCCTGTTGCTGCTGCCAACAGCCCCGGTCCTGGCACCGGCCCCCGGGGTGCCCGCGCCGGGTAGGCGGTCCCTCCCTGCCCACCCGGAGCCCCCGGCTCCGCGCCCCGGGCTCGGCTCCATTCCCTCCTTTCCCGGCCAAAGGGCTCAGCTTCCCCTTTCTGCCGGCGGTGCCTGGGACGCGGGAAGGGGCTGCGGCAGTAGGGCGGCTGGTCTCCAAGAGGGGTGTGCTCTTGGGTCCGGGGCTATCGGCTTCTTTCTTGGGAGGAGCGGTGCGCTGAGTTCTCGTAGCCGCTGAGAGAGAAGGGCCGGCCCTTCTCCAGCCCCCTCACCTTTTCTGGGCCCCCAGCTGTCCCAGCCGTCTCTCCGCCTCAACTGCCCCGCAGTTTCCTGCGGGGGGCCTCTTTCGGAGGAAGCAGGAGGCTCCCGGGGGGAAGCGGGCTGGAGGACGAGTTCCCTTCCTGATTTTCTGGGCACTCAACCTGACTCTCAACCCCCTGGAGAAGGTCTTCCCTGGCGAGGACCCGAGGACCCCAGCCGTTCTGGGATGACAGATGGGAGGTGGAAATACAACTACAGAGTTGGGTTGTTCGCTGTGGTTTATCTTCAGGGAGCTCGAGTGGCCCAGTGGTTAAGGCATTCGGCTCCTAACCAAAACTTGGGCTTTTGGAACCCACCAGCCGCTCCCTGGGAGAAAGATGAGGCCCTCGGCTTCCCGCAAAGATTTACAGCCTTGGAAACCCTATGGGGCAGTTTTACTTTCCCCTAAGGTCGCTACTTCGTTTCACCTATTTTGGTCATGTTGTCAGAAGGGACCATTCCCTGGAGAAGGATGTCATGCTTGGTAGGGTGGAGGGTCGACGAAAGAGGGGGAGGCCTTCAACGAGATGGATTGACATGGTGGCTGCGATGATGGGCTCAAGTATAGCAGGGATTGTGGGTCTGGCGCGGGATGGGGCAGTGTTTTGTTCTGCTGTGCAAGGGGTCGCTATGAGTCGGAAATGACTCAACGACACTTAACAACAACAACAACAAAGTCGCTATGAGTCGGAAACGATTTGATGGCAGTGGGTTAGGTTTGGTTTATTGTGTAAATGAGGAAACTGAGGCTCAGAGAGGTGCCACAAAGTCCCCAAGCTCACACTGTGCACGGTAAGGGTAGGATTTGAAACCTTTGTAAGGTTTTTTCCCCCACGTGGAAGATTTGAGTTCAGCTAGCTCCCACCCTTCCCTTCCACTTAAACACTGGTCCCTTTGGGTTGCATCGCCCTGGGGCTAATGGGGAAACTCAGAGACTTTGAAATCCAGCCCCTCTCCTACACCTGTAGCAGGTTCAAGGTGAAGGACTTCCCTCCTCACTGGGCCAGCCTCTCCTTCCCCTAGCTTTCCGCTTCTCTCTCTCCCTTCTCTCTCTCTCTCTCTCTCTGTGTGTGTGTGTGTGTAGTGTGGGGAGGACTATGGAGACAGACTGCCTTCACACAGCTTCCACCACCACATACCTGGGTTACCCATTGCTCTCTGGGTCTCCATTTCCTGTCTGTAAAATGGGGGCAAGGGAAGATGGTGGGGGCAAGGGGCTCTGAGCTCCAAGCTGTGGTGCTGTAGGGATTTGGTGCTGCAGAGGAGCAAGAAAAGATATCCACATAGATTGCTAATCAGGCCAGATTTCTTGGAGGAGAGAGCTTGAGTGGGTGGTATTTGTGAAAGCCAAGGGGTGGATGGAGGGTGCTCCAGGCAAAGGTTTGAGTATGAGCAGAGGCCTCGTTTGTGGGCAGAAGAGGAGGGAGACTCGTGACCAGCACTTTACAGTTGTCAAAGCAAGGCTGTGGGTGTCTATTTCTCTGGTGCTCACAACAAACAGGCCTGGCAGGGAGATGGGCCACTGACAACCAGAGGAGTGAGCTTGCTTGTCTAAGACCCTCTAGTGAGCTGAGGACAGAGCCGAGGCTGGACAGGCTGCCCCAGTGGCCCATCTTGTCAGCCCCTGGATCAGCCCAGCACTTCCTTTGAAGCCCAATCCTGGCATATCGCACAGGCACACAGGGCCTTCCCTGTCTGTCTTTCTTGATCTATTCATGAGCACCCATTGAGCTGTGATCTGTGTCATCTTGCTCTTTGTCCTTCCTACTTACCTTTATATCATAAGTGCTTAAGCAAAATCGTTTTTTCAGTCCACAAACATTCCTGAAGGCTTACTTTGTGCTAGACTCTCAGCTGAGCCCTGGAGACACAGAGATGGGAGGAGATTACAGTCTGATAGAGGAGACAGAAATGCCAGCAGATTGTCATCCAGCAAGACCAAGGCAAAGACTGGGGAACACAGGGCTCTGTGGAGCTCGGGGAAGGGAGTAGTTAACCTCTCAGTGTGAGTACTGAGGCAGTGACATTTGAACTGGATGCTGAAGGAGGTGGGGGGCACTATGAGAAGGATCTGTGTGGTAGAAACGATGACACAGGCTAAGACAAAGATCTGAATAACAGGAGGAAGATGGGAGCTGGAGCAGTAGGACATGGGGCTGGAGTGACCTTCAGGTAGTGGACAGCAGTGACTTTTGAATGCCAGGGTGAGGAGCTGGGACTTTGGCCTGAGGGTGGTGGGAAGCAGGAGAGTGGGGATGGATGAATGACTTAGGAGGATGAGACTGGAGGCTGTTGCAAGGATCAAGGACAGAACAGTTAACAAGTGGGATGTAGGGGCAGAGGTTTTGGGCTGCTGTCGTACTTTAAGCGTGTGATGGGCTGAGACCCAAGCTGAACCTTTCTCCAGAAATTCAAAGCCTGTGTCTTGGCCTCAGAGAGGCAGTGGAGGTTGTAGGGAGGACATGATAGCTGTAGGGAGAAGATGGGGTCCAGCTTGAAGGGCAAGGCTATGCCAGGTGATCCCTGATGCTGCCCAGGTTCATCTCCTCTAGCCCCTGGACTTGGCCTAGCACCAGCCCCCTGTGCCGGGTGAGGAGCTTGAGGCTAGCTTATGCTGGCACATGGAGCAGGAACCCAGCTTGTGCCAAGACCTCTTTGCTACCTGCTGCCTCCTATCTCCATCACCAGCTGGGCCTGTGGGCTGGGAGTGGGCTTCCTCTCCAGCTGGGCTCGTCCAGCTGTTGGGCCTAGCTATTCAGGCCTGGTGTGGGGGTGCCTGGCCTCTGGCTGCCTACCTGGCCAGTTGTACTAGCTGGGGCTACTAGCTGGGCCCTGGCCTGGCTAATCAGGGCGGGTTGCGTGCTCTTTGGCTGCAAGGCCCCTGCAGCTTCTCTAAATATTATTCTTAGGGGATTATGGTTCAGCCACTTTGACAGGCCTTCTTACTGCCTGCCGCCTTCACATCCTGGAGGACTTGGTGTTCCCCTCTGCTGTGCCTCACCCCCGTCACACTCAGCCCTAAGCTTCATATGTCAACTCCTAGGCTGGGGGACTTTTCCTCGTCTGAATTCTTAGAAAGGTTCTAGAGCCAGGCTGTCCTGGACTGTCTTTATCTGTGTGAAGGTGGACTAGTTGCATGGCCTTTGGGCTTCAGGGACCTCATGTGTGGAATGGGTGTGCTGATCATCCCCACCCCTGTGTTGTTTGGGGACTTAATGAGAGCAGGTTGTAAAGGTCTCTGCTGATCGGGTGAGTGTGTGTGCATGGGGATCATATTGATGCAAATGATGGAGAAGAAGAGACCAGCTCCGCCCTGAGTAGAGAAGGGAGGACAGAACATCAGAGTAGGAGGCCTCCTTTGGGCCCATCTGTTCCATCTGCTTCACTAGATAGACTGAAAAATGGAGATCAGAGGGTGAAGAGACTTTGCTCAAGGACATGCACCCAGTAAGGAGCAGCTCTCAAATACATCTTCTCTGAGCACCTGCTAGGGCCCCTGGGTGGCACAAATGGATTCTGCTCAACTACTAGTCAAAAAGTTGGCAGTACAAATCTACCCAGTGGTTCTGCAGAAGAAATCGCTGGTAAATTACAGCCTTTGAAAACACTATGGAGTACAGCTCTACTCTAAAACATGTAAGGTGGCTGTAAGTTGGAATTGACTCCAAGGCAATGAGTTTTTGGTTTCTTTATTAGGACCACCTGCTTGATGCCTGGCCCTGAGCTGAGTCCTGGGACTGAAGATGAATTGGACCTGGTGTCCACAGCACCCCAGTTCTGATTCCTGATGGTTTATTATACAGAGGTGCCCTCCACTGAGCGCAGAACTGGGCCAGCATGAAAGCACATGGGATTTAGGTTAGACTGAAAGGAGCCCTTCTTGTCCAAATAGTTCCCAAGGTTCTGGTTGTGGAAGGAGATGGAGATCCCTCTGGCACCCTGATTTTATTCATTCAGGATTTTTGGAGTCCATTTTGAAGGAACGGTGATAAACCTACCTCACCTGGGATATTTTTTTCAACCTATGGATTCAGATGACTCTCTCTCCTTAGCCCTTCTCCAGATCCAGACCTGGAGCTCTTCCAGGAAGTAGGAATGACAGAGAAGAGAAAGGAGTCAAGTCTTGACTCTGCTACTTCGAAGCAATGGGGCTTTGGCAAGTCTCTTCCCTTCTCTGAGCCTCGTATTCTTTATCTGGCACACCATGGGGATTCTGGTCTACCTCTCCTAGGGAGTGCCGGGCAGATAAATGAGTAGGAGGTGGGCGAGGTCCTGGACTCAGTGTGCGAGACTCCTGGCTTCCTGGTCTAGCTGTGGTCAAGCTCATCCCTGGGGATGTGGCACGCAGTCTCCTCTCCATCCACCCTGCTACCCCTGGGGCCTCAGTGGTAGTTGGTGTGCTTGGTGAGGAGTTTTCCTGAGCTGGGGCAGCTGGTGTTTATGAAAAACATGTGAGGGAGGAGGGAGGGAAAACAGAATTGGTGGTCTGGGAGGGAGGCGCTTCCACTGGGCACACAGTTTCTCTAGGCAGTAGGGGCATATGGGCAGCAGCTTCAGTGTCGTGGGCTTCTGGCTCTGCCTACTGGGGCAGAACTCCAGTGTGACAGCAGGAGGGCTTCAAGCGAGACTTCAGAGTGAAATGCTGTGGGCTGCGAAGATAAGGGAGTTTCTTTGACCAAGCTGGAAGGGACCACTTTCTTTACTTATTTTATCAATTCAACAAGCATTTGTGGAGCTCTGGCCACCACATGTGGGTCCCAGATGGCTGGATGTCTCCAAGACTTGGGTAGAGGATGTGGGTTAGTAGACACATAGAGCCCCAGCTAGGTGTACACAGCTTGTGTTAGGGGAGGAGAAAGACAGAAGAGGGGTGGCCCCTTCCCTTGGGAGCTTATGGTGGAGAAGAGCAAATTGTAGTCATCATGGTGAGAGAAAGCTGAAGAGTTAGAGTGTGGGTATTTAGGGAAGCCTTTCTGGTGGAGGCAAGGGGAGGGCTCAGTCAGGAGGGTGAAGTAGGTTTGGAGGAAATTTATTAGGAAAAGGCAACAGGCTCCTTGAAGAATGAGGAAGAGCTTTGAGCCTTGGAGCTAATGGAGGTGACTGCTACAGAATATTTGAGCTGAATGGACCTTCTGAGCTCCATTTGAGATCTCTACTGTGGTGGTATTATTGGGAGTCCATTGTGACTCATAGCAACTCAATGTGACAGAATAGAACCTCCCCCACAGGGTTTCCTAACCTGTAATCTTTATGGAAGCAGCTTGCGAGGTCTTTCTCCCACAGAGCCATTGGGTGGGTTTGAACCACCAACCTAATGGTTGGCAGCAAAGTGATTAACCATTGCACCATCAGGGCTCCTTCTTACTGTGGTATTGTTGTTGTTATGTGCCGTCGAGTCGGACCCGACTCATAGCAACTCCTCCTTGGGTTTCTGAGGAGGTATTACTACAGAAGTAGATTGCCCAACCTTCCTTCCAAGGAATGGCTGGTGCATTTGAACCACCAGGCTTCTGGTTAGCAGTCAAGTGTCTTAGGCACAACGCTACCAGAGCTCCTAGAGATGGGGAAACTGAGCCTGGTGATTGATAGGACTGGACTATTGGTGATAGAAGGCCTTGTGAGCCAGGGTTTGGAGCTGGGCACTGGGAGAGAGTTAAAGGACCCTTGGCAGGTGAATTAGGCAGGTGAGCAGAGTGTTGTGAGCTGGAGGAATTGAAGAAGGAGCGCTCAGGCAGAGGAGAAGAATCCTTTCTTTGAGGGCTAGATCCCTGAGCCAAATGGGGGCGGCGGGTGATCCTGAGTCTCTTTGGCATTTCTGGGCTTGAGGGAGGGAGAGGCAGGCATCCCTGGGTCCTGGCCAGGCACAGATTACCCAATAAGCAAGGTAAGCACAGGCTTACTTATGCTTTCTTACTAATCTGTAGTGAATAATTTCACATTTTTCACCACATTAAAGATTCTACTTCTAGGTATGGCTGGCATCTGTCTCTCTTTCAACCCCATAGCACCTTCCTACAGAATCAGAGCCTCTTTTCAAATTTACAATCCCTGACAGGGGTGGAGTATCCGGTAAACAAGGAAAATACAAGCTTACTTGTGCTTACTTACTAATCTATAGTGAACAGTTCCACATGTTTTTCTTACACCATTCTTACCTCACTTTTAGGTACTCTGCCCCTGGTCCTGGCTGCCAGGTCCGCCTGAGTCAGCCTGATAAGGCCTTTTCATCCAGCCTTCTCCCATGGGCCTCTCCCTCCTACATCCCTGCCAGGCTCACACAAATGGCCATTGCGGGGCTGTGGGGAGTCACCAAGGCTTAAGTAAAACTATTTGCATGTTTCTTGTAAGTTCTTCTTGTTTTCAGGTGTGTGTGTGTGTGTGTGGTGCTGGGGGCCCTCTCTGAGGTAGGGGCTGGGAGGGCCCTGCTGTCCAGGCCAAGTGCCAGAGACTATGAAGTAAGGAAGCTGAAACCCAAGGAGTCCAGCCTTGCCTAAGGTCATGCCCTCTGATCATGGGTCCCTAAGATCGCTGACCATTTCATCCTAAGCTTCTTTCCCCTTTTGCTACCCTCTTGACCTCCAATAATCAGTTGTACAGAGAATAAAAGTTCCCTGTCTTGTTGGCTTTGATCCCAGTTAAGGAAGTACATGTATGTTTACAGAGGGGAGCTACTGTTTGCTGGGTAAGGCTTGGGAAGGAGCCTGAGGCCAGGAGCCAGGAGTCCTGGGTCTGTCCAGTCCCCTGCTCTGCTCTGTGTCCTTGCTCAAGTGATACCTGCACTGCTGTGCATTGTAGGGTGGACCCAAATGAGTGCTAAAGAGTCTCTAAGTTTGGTTTCTGAAGAGCCACTGAGACAGTACAGATTTGAGCCAGGGGGCTGTGGTCAGTAACATCCAAGTTAGATGCAAAGAGGGGCTTCCTTGTGCCAGTTTCTCTAGAAGGCAAGGGGGCTGATTGATGCCAGGGCTCTACTCACTCTCAGGAGATTTTTCCAGCCATGTCTTTCCTGTTATTCCGTTAGTCTGCCTTTCTTTGGAGTCCTAGTGCCCAGACCTCAGCCTTCACCTGGGCTAAGACTGGGCCAATCAGAAACTGGTGCTGAGATAGCTGAGGCTCTGGGGCTACCTGTTTTCCCTCAAACTCACGCTCTGCCCCCACAGTCATGGAAAACTTCTTTCATCGGGCTTGACTGTTGAGTCTGTGTTGGAAACGTGGGCGGAAGTGAAAGGATGAGGCAATGGGTCTGGTATGGCTCGCCGGGTGACTTCTCTGGGTCTCCCTTCTTCTGGTCTCTTCCTTCTTAGTGTCTAGATGATCACCCAGCTTGGGGTGAGCTGAGAGAACCCCCATCCTTGACCCTTTTTGGAACCCCACAAACCCTGCCCTTGCTGCTGAGCCCTGACTTGGCAGGAAGTGAATGCCTTAGAAGTCTGTGGCTGCAGCATATTATCAGCTGTTTCCTAGCCTTTGATATCACAGCCTAGAGTGCAGACTACCCACCCCCGCTCTGGCATTAGTAGGGAAGGAGGGGGACTTGACCTGGGGGCCTGATTGGAGCTCCAGAGCAAAGCCTGGGAATGGAAGGGCCAAGGATTTGTGCTTGTCACTGTGGAAACACTGAAGTCCAGAGAGGGGTCACTCAGTGACTTAGGACAGAGCTGGGGCTTGAGTCAATACCTTTGACCCTGGATGCCCTCATCCAGGACAGGATGGGGGTCTGAGGGCCACCCTACAATCTCTGATCCTTATTTCTCACCCACAGTGAACCCCTGTTGTTACTATCCATGCCAGCACCAGGGAATCTGTGTCCGCTTTGGTCTCGACCACTACCAGTGTGACTGCACCCGCACGGGCTACTCCGGCCCCAACTGCACCGTCCGTGAGCTGGGCCTCCAGTCCCCACTCCTCTCCCCTGGGCTCCTCCTCCTCTAGCTCCACATGGGCCCATTCTCCTTCCTTTTCTGGCTCTCCCTGACCTGCTGCATCCTGAGCCCTCACTCCCAGCACATCCTACTTCCTAGTTCTGGGCTTTTGGGGAGTCTTCACTGACCAGCCCCAAACCCAGTCCCTAGCCCTGTCTCCTGTCCTCATTTCTGGTTTTAACTCGGACATGTGTCATCACTCCCAGGGCCCTGTCCTTACTGTCCTGTCCCATATGCACTCCCTGTTTCATTCTGGCCCTTGTCTCCAGTCCCCATCGTCTGCGCTGGTTGCTCTGGTCCTGCCAGGAAGGCCAGCTGAATGGTTCCCATTGTCCCTGCAGCTGAGCTATGGACCTGGCTCCGGAATGCGTTGCGGCCCAGCCCCTCTTTTCTCCACTTCCTGTTGACACATGGGCGCTGGTTCTGGGAGTTTGTCAATGCCACTTTCATCCGTGATATGCTAATGCGCCTGGTACTCATAGGTGGGTGGGGACAGGGTCTCCCCTAACCTGGGGAACATCAGAACAAGCAGTTCTGCTGGTTCTTGGCATCTGATATGGGTGGTGGGTGGGGAGATGGTATGATACCAGATAAGGAAATTTCCAATTCAAAGGAGGCATGGAAGGGGAGTAACTGACGATGGGAGCCCCCTTGTCACCATTATTTTCACCCTCTGCAGTGCGTTCCAACCTTGTCCCCAGCCCCCCAACCTACAACGCCGCATATGACTACATCAGCTGGGAGTCCTTCTCCAATGTGAGCTACTACACCCGTATTCTGCCCTCTGTGCCCCAAGACTGCCCCACACCTATGGGAACCAAAGGTAATAAAGGTGATGTAAGTCGCTGGGCCTGGGGATCACAGGAGATGCTCAGTTCTCTTTGCAGGAAAGCAGGCAGAAGAGTAATTATTAGCCAGTTTCACAGATGGGTGGACCAAGGCAAGGCAAGGAACTAGGGATGAGGACATGGTTGGGGAATGAGGACAGGAAAGGGCACTGAATGGTTTTGCCTAAGGTCACCTAGGAAGTCCCTGGCAGAATCAGACTAGTGCTTTCATGTTTCCAGTGTGTCACATTGCCTGAGACTTATCTACTGAATGGACTGGCCCCTGCTGGGGTGGGGGTGACTTGAAAGTTGAAAAGTGGGGAGGAAGGAAGAATGTTCTATTTATTTAGTACTAATTATATGCTTGGTTCTTACATATTTTCACCAGCATACGGTACAAATAAGTTGTATATATATATAAAACCAAACTCACTGCCATGGAGTCAATTCTGACTCATAGCGACCCCATTTGGGTTTCCGAGGTGGTAAATCTTTATGGAAGTAGATAGCCCAGTCTTCTTTCTGTGTGTGTGTGTATATACATATGTGTACATATATATATATATATTTATATATAATTTATTTATCTATTTATTTTTGTTGTTGCTTAAGACCCCACCTAACCTCATTGGCAGGGATCTTCCTCTTGAACCTTTTCCCCCACTCTATCCCTAATTGTCCAAAAAGCCCTAAGGCCTTTCTTAGTTCAGAGCCATCAACTCAATTTCAAGAATAGTGAGGCCAGAGGGGCTGATCAGTCAGTTGCTGCCACATGGTCTCACTGTTGAATGCTGTTCCTGTGCAGTCTCATGGATGTGTGATTTTGCAGGTTCAGAACGTTGCATATGTATTGATGTCCATACTTGGGCCTCATGGTTACCTTTCTGTTGGTTTGCACTCAAAGTTTTAGCTACTATTCCAAAAGTATGGCCATTTTGCCTGGATAGCTGGGTCTAGCAGATCTTCTGAACTATGCCAATATCTTGCTGGTACCAGTCCTACCCCAAGGTCTACTTGAGTGAGGATTCCAGGTTATGGGTACAGACTATACCCTCCAACTTCCCTTTTGGAGAGTTCCCTTTTGGGATGATTAATACTCATTCCTGCCAATGGAATACAGTTGATCATCTCAATCCAAAGAAAGGTCTGTTAATCTTGACTCTTTGGCATTGGTCCTACAAGAGGTATTGTCAAAGAATGCCTTTATCAGAACACAAAAATTCTGTTAGTCCTTTCTGGTAGGGCATTGAGTGGTAACTCATGTGATGTTTATATAATTAAGGAAGGCTTCCCAAGTGCCTGTGGTCATAAAGACAGATACCAACTTCAAGATGGCTTGTTTTTACCCCAGACATAGAAAAACTAGCATCATTAAAAGCAAGGGTCAACAAACTAGGGTCCCCATGCCAAATGCATCCTGCCCTTGTTTTTGTAAATAAACTTTTATTGGAACACAGTCACACTTATTTGTTTACATATTGTCTAAAGTTGCTTTTCGTGCAAAGTTGAGAAGTAAGTCCTGGAAGTCTAAAATATTTACTATCTGGATTTTTAAAGAAAATATTTGCTGACCTTGATTTGAAAGCTTCTGCCTTACCAGTTCCCCGCCATGCCTGAAATCCACCGTCTAAGATAGGTACCACTTGTCCCACTTTACCAATGAAGAAACTGAGGCTCAAAAAGATAAATGACTTATCTGTGTGTACACAGGTAGTAAATGGCACAGCCAGGTTCAAACACAGTCTGTCTTGCTCCAGAGCCAGGGAGTCCATGTTCTTTTCTTTCTTTCCTTTTATTTTTTTTAAACATTTTTTATTATGGAAAAAAATTTAACATATATAAAAATTGAATGTACTGAACTCCTATGTACCCATCTCCCAGTTTAACACTCGTCTGCAATTTCCCATTCTTCACCCTGTGGATCAAAAACAGTCTGACCCACAACTCATCATATGGCTGGCACAGGACCTGGCAGCATTTTGTTCTGTTGTGTCTGGGGTCACCAAGAGTTACGGGACCAACTCAATGGCAGCTAAAAGCAATAACCAAGCATTTCATCTATACCCTCTCACCTTATTTTTTATGGAGTATTTTAAAATAAATTCCAAATTGCACATCATTTCACCCTTAAACACATCATCGGTAGAGAAGAAGGGTCGGGGGCCACCTGGTGGGTGGGAAGTGGTCCAGCAGAGGCTACTCTGGGCTTTTTGCTTAGGCCTGTTTGGCCTAGTGAGCTCAGAGGCCCAGACAGGTGGCCGTTCCTGCTCTTTTTTACCTCCTCGATCAGGGAAGAAGCAGTTGCCCGATGCCCAGCTCCTGGCCCGTCGTTTCCTGCTTAGGAGGAAGTTCATACCTGATCCCCAAGGCGCCAACCTCATGTTTGCCTTTTTCGCACAACACTTTACCCACCAGTTCTTCAAAACTTCTGGCAAGATGGGTCCTGGCTTCACCAAGGCCGTGGGCCATGGGGTGAGTTCCTAGGAGGGGCTCAGGACTTCCTGGAACTAGGTACATGCAGGTCATTGCTGGTGGGGCAGGACTGGGGAGATCTGAGTGTACCTTCTCTGTCCTCAGGTCGATCTGGGCCACATTTATGGAGATAATCTGGAACGCCAATATCAGCTGCGGCTCTTTAAGGATGGGAAACTCAAGTATCAGGTAGTACTGAACCTAGGGTTAGGGCAATGGGAAAGGCCTCTGATGGTCTCCCCTGGCAAAGGCTATGGGGGGCCTGAGTAGTGTCCTGAGAGGCCAGCTGCAGGAGCTCATAGTGTGCACTAGGAGGAGAGACAATTTGGGAACAGCAGTAAATCCCTAGGAGAAATCCCCACACGAGAGAAGCAGACGAGGAGCAGATGTGGCCTCTTATGTTCTACTGGGAGGTGGAGTTTGAGGCTCAATACCCATTGCCATCGACTTAATTCCAATTCACAGCGACCCTATAAGACAGAGTAGAACTGCCCCATAGGATTTCCAAGGCTGTAAATCTTTATGGAAGCAGACTACCTCATCCTTCTTCCACAGAGAGGCTGATGGGTTCGAATCACTGACTTTTTGGTTAGCAACCCAATGATTTAACCACAGTGCCACTAGGTCTCCTTTGAGGTTTAATAGGAGGTACATCATTTCAAGCTTATTTATTTAATTATTATTTATTTATTTAATTATTCTACAATAATAATTGGACACTACAGTGCACCTGGTACAGTGAACATCATAGTTAGGGACTGCACCCTCAGTGCACTCACAGTCGTCAGGAACCACAGACATAAACTGTAGGATGCTAGCTCCTGGAGGGCTTATTGCCTAAACTGGCCCTACCCAGCAGAAATATGAGCAACATATGTAACTTAAAATTTTCTAGTAGCCACATTACAAAAGAGAAAAAAAAAACAGCTGTATCAATTTTTATATTGTTGTTGTTGTTATGTGTCGGCGAGTCGGACCCGACTCATAGTGACCCCTCCTTGGGTTTCCGAGGCAGTATCACTGTGGAAGTATATTGCCCCATCTTTCTTCCGAGGAGTGGCTGGTGAGTTTGAACTGCCAGCCTTCTGGTTAGCAGTCAAGTGCCTTACGCTACCAGAGCTCCCATCAATTTTTATAGTATATTTTATTTAGCCCAATATATCCAAAAAATCACAATTTCAACATGTAATCAATTCAAAAAATTATTAAGATATTTCACTTTTTTTTGCATGCTAAATCTTTGAAATCTGGGGTGTATTTCATAGTTAGAGCACCCTCTATTTGGATGCTAAATCTTCACTGGAAAGACTCCATCTGTACTTGTTGTTGTTATGTGCCAGTGAGTTGGACCCAACTCATAGCAACCCCTCCTTGGGTTTCCGAGGCAGTATCACTACGGAAGTAGATTGCCCCATCTTCCTTCCTAGGAGTGGCTGGTGGGTTTGAACTGCCAGCCTTCTGGTTAGCAGTCAAGCGCCTTAGGCACTATGCTACCAGAGCCATCTGTACTTAGGTTCATAAAATTTACACTTGAAAATTAGATTCACATGCCTAAGTTGTTCCAAGTGTATTTCAGAGTTTTCCCAATAACTGAAGTATCAGTTTTTAAGTTGATATTTCAATTAAATTAAATGGAAAATATAGCTCTTTATTTACACTGGCTGGATTTCAGAGGCTGAATAGTCTTATGTGGCTAGCAGCTATCATATTGGACAGCACAATGGAAACAAGCAAACACAAAAAGTTTACTGATGAATCTTTAGGGTTAAAAACACAATTTGGCATATAGTAGATTCTCAGTGTATATTTATTGAATGAATGAAGAGACTGCCAAATAATTAATCATACTTGTGATAACTGCCACCAAGGAAAAGTTTTGGGTGCCACCAGAGTGTTCAGAGGATTGGGAAAGCTTCACTAAGAAGTCATGAATAAACTGAGACTTGCATAAAAGATGAATAGGAGTTAAGAAAGCAAAGAGGGGGAGGGGCTTTCCAGGTAGAGAGCTTTAGCATATGCAAAGGCTCGGAGGTGGGAAGCAGCTTGGAGTGAAAGAAGGGGAGTTTTGCCAAACCTAGTGATTGGGGATAAGAATAATTTGAGGTGAGAGTGGAGATGTCTGTGGAGGTCATGTTAAGGACTTGGAATTTCTGCCAAGGGCAGAGAGAGGACTTCGATGGGTTTTAAGCCAGGAAGTGATACTAGATTAATGTTTTTTTAAAGTATTACTCTGGCTGCAGTGTAGAGAATGGACTGTTGTGGCTCTGGGAGTGGATGTAGGAAGCCCACTTAGGGAGAGGAATCAGGGTGGGAGATGAGGGACAAGGATGGTGGTAGTGGGGATGGAGAGAAGGGGACTGATTTTAAGAGATTTAGGAGGCAGAATCAAGAGGCCTTGGTTGAAGAGGACAAAAGACAGCAACCCTGCCGTGACATAGGTAGCTGTCAGTTGGAGTGGGAAGATGTCAGCTGTGGGCAGGTGTAGGTACCCTGGTGCCCCAAGTTGCCAGGTTGCCCATCCACAGGTGCTGGATGGAGACATGTACCCCCCATCAGTGGAGGAGGCACCTGTGTTGATGCACTACCCAAAGAACACTTCACCCCGGAGCCAGATGGCCGTGGGCCAGGAGGTGTTTGGGCTGCTTCCTGGGCTCATGCTCTATGCCACAGTCTGGCTGCGTGAGCACAATCGTGTGTGTGACCTGCTGAAGGCCGAGCACCCCACCTGGGAAGACGAGCAGCTCTTCCAGACGACTCGCCTCATCCTTATAGGTGAGGACTCCAAACAAGCCTTGCCCTAGAAGGTCATGACCTCTACCCTGAGAAAGTGAGTGGGTGGCGGGTGGTGGCTTGGGGACAGTGAGTTGGGATTAGAATCTTGACTCTGTTACTTACTAACTCTAAGACCTTGAGTGATCCCCTTCATTTCTGGAAGTCTCAGTTTTCAGATCTGTTCACTGGAGATAATGATGATTATAAGTATTTGTTGAGATAATAAATGGGAGGGCACCTAGTACCTAGTAGGCCTTCAGAAAATGGATGGATGGCCATGATGGTTGATTACTAGCTGGGTGAGTCACAGCAAATCTGATTAGACAGACCACATCTCAGTTTCCTTGTTGTACTGCACCCAGATGTATACAATGATGTCCTTGGCAGTGCAGGGCCAAACCCCAGCTTGCCCACCCTTCAGGAATCATGTTTCCAGCCATGCATGTATCTGCCTTCCTGGAGCTGGAGAGCTTCTGGGTAACTCAGGGACAGGATATTTTTGTGTCTTCTACGGGGGTGAGTCTGCAGCCAAAAATGTCAAATGGTTTCCTGCCCAGGAGCTTGGCCCCTGACACCCCTGTCCAAGCCATGTGAGTCACCAGTAACCCCCTTCCCCCACCTCCACCCATCACTGGGCATGGCTGGTCCCAATTATAGTGCCTGATTCACGGGTGCCTGGAAGAGCCTGGCATTGCGAATAGGAATGGCCTGGAGAGGAAGAGAGGCTGGTTCTGAAATCTCAACATTGAGAGACCTTGACCAGAGAGGACAAGTCTGTGCCTAGAGGCTGCCCAGCACACTAACAGGTGATCAAGCTGTGACCAAAGGTAGGCCTTCTAGGGCATTGTACACCCAGTAGATCATCTAACCTTCTCTAGCAACCTTACGGCCAAATATCATGTCCTTGTAGGGAAAATTAAAATTCAGAGAGGTTTAGTGAGTTCTCCAAGACCACTCAGCAGAAGGAGAATTGAACCTAGGTCTGGCTGCTCCAAAGCTCATGCTACTTTTACTGTGTCACAGGGGGATTCTTTCCTGAATGGAGAGATGTTGCAAACATCAGTCCAATATTTTGTGATGTGTGAGTAGGAGGAAGGGATTCTCCCTTGTGCCTACACTTAGTATGCCTGCTTTTTTTTTTTTTTTTTTTTTTTAATATCTAATTGACGAATTTTCACTTATTTACGGGATGTTCAATTTGTTTCTTCTCTGGCTCTTTGCTTTATAGCTGGTTACTGAGGAGTAGAGAAAAAATCTATTCATAAGAATTCTTATCTGTAAACATATGTAAGAAATAGAGTTTTAAAATCTATTTGGGGCTAGATTCTCCTTTTGAGTCCCTAGGTGGTGTGAATGGCTAATGGGCTTGGCTGCTAACCCAAAGGTTGTCAGTCTACCCAGAGTTATCACAGAAGAAAGGCCTGGTGTTCACTTCTTCTTTTTTTGCTGTATCTGAGTGGTAATTCACTTCTGAAGTTCTTTGCCACACATGGGATAGCCATGAGTCAGAGTAGATTCTGTGGCAACTTTTTTGTTTGTTTTTCTTGTACCCCCAATGTCCCCCTCTTGGCTTTCAGAATGGTGTCTTTGAAGTCCCCTTAGCCATATATTGAGGGTATCAGCACACTGAGAGCCCTCACTAAGTACATCCTTCACTTTCCCCTACTTGGTGGGCTGTCCAGCCTCCTTTAACAAGCTGCAGTTCCCTTCCCTCATACCTCCTTTGCATGTCCTGCTTAGCTGAGTCTCCCTTTGGAATGTAAGACTAGCTGATGCCTCTTGTTTTAGAGGAGCTCAGTCAAAACCAAAGCAGAAAAGTTTTATTTTCACACTGTGTTACAAAAAGTCAGAGTGAAAAATGGCCAACTAAAATTAAATATTAATAACACTAGCTACAGTGATAACAATCATAAAAATGCAAAAACAAACAAACAAAAAAACACCCCACTTTTCATGAGTGGGCTTGATTCCCAAGCTGGATGTCTAAATCGGTGTGATCTGTTGACTCTCTTCCCAATATGTTCCTGCCTAGGGGAGACCATCAAGATCGTAATTGAGGAGTATGTGCAGCAGTTGAGTGGCTACTTCCTGCAGCTCAAGTTTGACCCGGAACTGCTGTTCGGAGTCCAGTTTCAGTATCGCAACCGTATTGCCATAGAGTTCAACCATCTCTATCACTGGCACCCACTCATGCCCGACTCCTTCAAGGTGGGCTCCCAAGAGTACAGCTATGAGCAGTTCTTGTTTAACACCTCCATGCTGGTGGACTATGGAGTCGAGGCCCTGGTGGATGCCTTCTCTCGTCAGCGTGCTGGTCGGGTAAGCCCCAGAGGCAGCACTGGGGAGGGCTTGTGGGCACTGAGAAGCAATAGATTTGGGTCCACCTTCCAGTTCCTTGTCTATAAAGTGGGGGTAGTCATCTCCAAAGTTTGGCTGTGAGCATTCCTTCACTAATTCTCTTGTTCATTTGTCCACTCAGCAATGCCGGGCATTAGTCTAGCTAGGTACTGGGGAGATGGTGGTGAACAAGACACATGTGATTCTTGGCTCCTTGTTCTCTTAGAGCTTACACTCTGGAAAGGGATTATAGTCATATGACAGCTAATGTCCTTTGAGTGCTTACTGTGTGTTAGGCACTATTGTTAAGTACTTTTTGGATGTTATCAGAATTATAAATGCATGATAAGGACCATAATACAGAAAGGTCATGGTGTTCTAGCAGATCAGAGAGAATCCGCTGATCCAGTTTTGGGAGTTATCAGTAAGGAAGTGATTATGATTAAGGAACTAAGTAGAGATCTTAAAGATGGATAGGAGTTGCACAGGGAAAAAGCAGTGTTAGTGACGGGGATGGCTTTGTTCCAGATAGAGGGGACAGAATGGGCAAGGCCCAGAGGCCAGAGGGCATGGTGATTTTAGGAACAGAAGGACATTCAGGATAGGGTAATACATGAGAAAGTGCCACATAACCAAAACCCAAACTCATGCCGTCGAGTCAGATCTGACTCATAGCGACCTCTCTTTGGGTTTTCGAGGCGGTATCTCTATGGAAGTAGATTGCCCAGTCTTCCTTCCGAGGACTGGCTGGTGGGTTTGAACCGCCAGCCTTCTAGTTAGCAGTCAAATGCCTTAGGAACTATGCCACCAGTAGGTGTTTATTAAATTATAGGCCTCTTTCCTTGGAATTCCTAACCAACTCTCTCTTAAATATTCCCTTCTCCTGACTCGGAAGCTCCCAACTCCTTCATCCTGGCTCTCTGACTCCTTCGTTTTCATTCTCTACCCCTGCTTCTCTCTACTTCCTGAGCCCTATCAGGAAGTTGTGGCACCGGATGGATTTCAGTTCCCTTCTGGTAATTTGACTGAAATTAGCATATGCTGCCACAAGTGGGCAGCTGCTGGCTGGTTTATGGCCTCGGTTCTCTATGGGGACATGGATGCACAGAGATAACGACATTTCTCTGATGAGGTGTGGTTTCCAAAGAGTTGCTATGGAATGGCTAGGATGAGATGTGTGGAAATGATGATGTGGCACAAGACAGAGGAGGCCAGAGTATGCTGACTCTCAGGATATTAAGAAGAGTGTGAGGAATGATAAAACGGTTTCCGCTGATAACCATCACACATGGCTAACAGCTTAGGGGTTAGTATGTGGCCAACACTGTATTCACTGCTTTGCATACTTTATCTCATTTGTTTTGCCTTGCCCTCCTCACTTTTACATATGAGTAAAAGGAGACTTAGCTCAAGTAACCTGCCCAAGGTCCCACAGTTTGCAAATGGATGAGCCAGGGTGATAGCAGTCTCTCTTTGTTTTCCTCCAAGACACATGTTTTCACCCAACAATGCTTTTCCTCTTTCCCACCCTATTTTAATTTTTCTGCTTCAAGAAAACTCTTCCTTAACATTAGCACTCGTTTTGAGCAATAACGCCTTCTTCAGACCAATGCTCCATAACTGCTATGAACAAGAATCTTCTTCTGGAGCTTCCTTTATCTCACCACGTCACCTGGGCTTTGAACTTTAATTTTCCTCCCTTCGCAGGGTATTATACTACCCCTTAGTTTTGGGATTAAACTTCTAGTTTTGTTGAACTAAACTTGTTTAGACGTTATTGTTTTCCTGGGAAGATTTCAGCTCCCTCTCTGCTAATGTTCTTCTCCCAGGCACTTAAGCAGAAGGAAGAAGAAAGAACAGACTTAGTCACTTCTGTTCATGTGATTGGCTCTATCTGCTCTGAATGGAGTGACTTGATGCTTTATGTTGCTACCTGCCTACTCCTTTTAGTTTCTCCTTCCTTGTGGTGGCTGGTTATTAGAAGTTCACTTTTTAATATTAGATGCTCAGTACATTTAGTTGAAACTCAACATTATGATGATACAGAGAATGAAAATCAATAAAAATTGATCCCTTAGCAGGGTCCTTTAAAAGATTTACTTAATCTTCCACAAGTAAACCTCTAGAGCTAATAGAGGAATTTAGCAAAGTACAGGATACTAGGTCAACAAACAAAAATCAGTCAGGTTTCTATACACCAGCAATGAGAAATCTGACAGAGAAATTAGGAAAACAATTCCATTTACAACAACATCTGAAAGAATAAAATACCTAGGAATAAATCTACCCAGGGACATGAAGGACTTGACTTATACAATGAAAACTATAAAAGTGCTGAAAGATAATAAATAAGGCTTAAATAAATAGAAAGGTATTCTATGTTCATAGATTGGAAGACTTAATATTGTTAAGATGTCAATACTACCCAAAGTGATCTATAGATTCAATAAAACCCCAATCAAAATTCTAATAGCCTTATTTACAGAAATGAAAAAAAAAACAGTCCTCAACTTTATATGGAATGACAAGAGGCCCAGAATAGCTAAAGCAATGTTGAAAGAGAAGAACAAAGTAAGAGGACTCACACTTCCTGATTTGAAAGCATACTACACAGCTGATGAAAAATGTTATTATATTCCGTGGACTGCCAGAAGAATGAACAATCTGTCTTGAAAGAAATACAACCAGAATACTTTATAGAAGTGAGGATGGCAAGACTTTGTCTCATGTACTTTGGACATGTTATCAGGAGGCACCAGTCCCTGGAGAAGGACAGCATGCTTGGTAAAGTAGGGGGTCAATGGAAAAGAGAAAGCTCCTCAACAAGATGAACTGATGAGTAGCTACAACAATGGGCTCTGACATAGCAACGATTGCGAGGATGGCACAGGACTACTAGGGCGTCAACACAGGTACAGAAATCACAACAGCCTGGTACTTATATAACAATAGACACATAGACAATGGAATAGAATTGAGAGTCCAGAAATAAGCCCACACATCTGTGGTCAACTGACTTTTGACAAGGGTGCTAAGTCCATTTCATGGGGAAAGAAGTGTCTCTTCAATAAATGGTGCTGAGAACATTGGATTTCCACATGCAGAAAAATGAAACAGGATCTGTGCCTCATATCATACATGAAAACAAATTCAAAATGGATTAAAGATCTAAGTGTACAGACTAAAACCATGAAATTCTTAGAAAAAGAACCAGGGATAATGCTGTCTGGTCTAGCTTCGACAATGGATTAGGTAATGTAATAACAAAAGCACAAACAGCAAAAGACAAAGTGAAGAAATGGGATCTCATAAAAATTAAAATATATTGTTTATTAAAAGACTTTACCAAGAAAGTGAAAAAGCAGGCTACCAGACTGGAAGAATATCTTTGGAAACTATATATCTGACAAGAATCAAATAACCAAAATATATATAAAACTTCAACAACTTAACAACAAAAAACAAACACCCAGTCATAAAATGGGCAAAGTACTTGAATAGACATTTCACCGAAGAGGACATTCAAATGGCCACCAGACACATGAAAAGATGTTCATCATTTGCCATTCTCTCTCTCTCCCATTAGGATGGGTGAAATTGAAAACAAACAAACAAACAAAACAACCCAAAGAGAAAATAACAAAATTTGAGGAGGATGTGGGGAAATTGAAATCCTTACTCATTGCTGGTGGGAATGGAAAACGATACAAACTGTTGTGGAAACTGTGGCAGTTCCTAAAAAAATTAAAAATAGAACTACCATATGACCCAGCAATTCCACTTCTAGGTATATACCCAAAAGACTTGAAAGCAGAGACTTACATACCAATGTTAATGGAAGGCATAGTTACAATAGCCGAAAGGTGGAAACAACCTAAATGTCCATCAACAGATGAATGGATAAACAAAATGTGGTACAGGCATACATGGAATGCTATTCAGCCAGTAGGAAAAGTGAAGTCTTGATACCTGCTACAATATGAATGGAGTTGGGAGACATTATGTTGAATGAAATAAATCAATCATAAAAGGGTAAATATCCTATGACCAAAAAAAAAAAAAAAAAACACGCCACAAAAAACCAAACTCACTGCCATTGAGTCAATTCCAACTCATAGTCGAGTCAGTAAATCTTTGCTAAAGTAGATTGCCTGGTTTTCCTTTCATGCAGTGGCTGGTGGGTTTGAATGGCCAGCCTTCTGGTCAGCAGTCAAATGCCTTAGGCACTATGCCACTAGAGCTCCTTATTGTATGACAAGGAAGGAAAGGTAAATGTATAGAGAACAACGTTTATTAGTGGTTACCAGGGGTGGGAGGGAGAGGGAAAGGGATGTTAATGGTGATGGAAGTAGATTATGGTCATTGCTGCCAATGCATTGTCAGAAGTTGTATACCTGTCAAAAGTTGTACTGGCAAAAATTGTGTCAGATATATTTACAACAATGCCAAAAAGAAAAACAAACAAACAAACAAAACAGTAGTTGCTGAGTCTGTTTATGTACACCCAGACACCTCATGGGATTTGGTTTCTTGGTTTGGAGGTTTAAGGTCATGGTTTCATGGGATATCCCAGTTAACTGGCATAAAAGTATGTTAGTGCTTCTGTTACCTAGGCACGAAAATTGGTCTCTACCTGGGGCAACAGAAGAAGAGGAAAATCAAGACTAGGAGGAAGATATGGAATGTTTGGCTAATTGCCTTCATGGACAAGAACTGATGGTGCCTGACTACTATCAAAAAGGGAGAAATACAGAAGAGAATTTAAAATGGTAAAGGACTCTAGACTTCTTGAAGCTATGAAGATTGTATGAACCCCTGAAGCTATTGCCCTGAGATAATCTTTAAACCTTAAACCAAAAATATCCCCTGAGTCTTCTTAAAACCAAGCAATAGTTTAGCTTCCAAAAAACTAAACCAAACTCACTGCCGTCAAGTCGTTTCCAACTCACAGCGACCCCTCCTTGGGTTTCTGAGGTAGTATCTCTATGGAAGTAGATTGCCCAGTCAACTTTCTGGGGAGTGCCTGGTGGGTTTGAACCCCCAGCCTTCTGGTTAGTAGTCAAATGCCTTAGGCACTATGTAAAAAGTGTCTGCCTTGAGCATTATGTTCTTTTAAGAACTATCTATAAGGGATTAAATTGACAACAGCAACTAGAAAGACTAGACAGGAAGCTTAGGGAGCAATGAATTTATATTAATGGACAAGGAACAACTCAGAAAAGGAGGATGAGAATGGTTATAGAACTCGAAGAATGAATCAATGTCACTGAATGGAACATGTAGAAACTTAAACTGGTGTATGTTTTGCTGTGCATATTCTCAATAATAATGACAAAAGAAATGAAATTATACATTAAAAAGCCACAAAAGATTAATTATCTGTGTTGTATGATGAAAACAGACTTGGAGAGTGACAAGTATGTGTTAGCTCTGCTAGAACATAATTTTTAAAATATCTTAGGAAAGCCATACAGTGGTTTTCTTATCTGATTCCTCTAACACCTGGCACCCAAAACTAAATATTCCCCCATCTTTTTATTCATATCACTTGTTGGCTCAAAAACCCTTCTATCCCTTCAACTTTCCTCTCCAGAGCTGGGGTGCTCCCCTTCTGCTTTTGGTTTACTTCTTGGCTGTGGCCATGCTAGCCATCTCCTCTGCAGAGTCCTTGCTGCTGAACTTAATAGATCCAGAACTTCCTTAACAGGACCTTGGAGGTTTTTACCTGGATTTAATGGGTTAGCCAACAGTGTGAGTTTATGAGCTGCTAGAGAGGTCCTCCTGGCCCATTGAACACTTTAAAGTCGAGGAAACTGAGACTCCGAGGGGGTCCTTGAGAAAGCATGACAATGGCAGACCTAGGGCCACATCCCCAGCACTGTGGCTGCGAGGCTAAGCCACACTCCCTCTCTTAGCTCAGGGAGGAGGACACCTGGTCTGAAGTTCTTTTCTTAGGGCCCTAATGCAGGCTGCAGAACAGTAGTCTGGCTCCCAGACCATGACATCTGTGCTCATCTCTTGGCAGATCGGTGGGGGTAGGAACATGGACCAGCATGTCCTGCATGTAGCTGTGGAGGTCATCAAGGAGTCTCGACAGCTGCAGCTGCAGCCCTTCAATGAGTACCGCAAGAGGTTTGGCTTGAGGCCCTACACCTCTTTCGAGGAGCTCACAGGTGAGCAGCTGTTTCCTGGACACAGTCCCTGCCCTTGAGGGACTCACAGTAAAGTGAGGGAGAGTCAAGGAAACAGAATCAGACAACAGATTGTGCCAGCACCATGATTATGGGAGTTACAGGGATAAGAGAGCACTGTGCCTGGCTAGAGAGGAATATGGAGTGAATAACCCTGCTTGGGGAGAGAAGGTGGCTTTTCAGCTGGTTTGTAAGGGTAGATAGGAATTTTCCAGATGGAGAATAGAGGGAAAGAGCATTTTAGGTCAAGAAGCAGAAAGTATAGAAAAGGCACAGGAGTCAGAAAGAATGCACCTATTCAGGAGAACACTAAGTAGAACACAAGGCTTAGGTGGAGGGGGTTAGTGATGGGGAGTTTGGGCCAAATTGTGTACAATTTTGGATATCATGTTAAAGATATTGGGCTTTATTCTGTTTCAACAAAGAAACAAACCAAAAACCCAAACTAATTTCCATTGAATCAGCCCAACTCATGGTGACTGCATGTATGTCAGACTGGAATTATACTCCATAATGTTTTCAGTGGGGGATTTTTCAGAAGTAGATCACCAAACCTTTCTTTTGATGTGCCTCTGGATTGACTAACAGCTCTAAACTTTCATTAGCAGGGGGGCATGCTAACCATCTGTGCCATCTTGTTGTTGTTGTTGTGTACCGTCGAGTCACACCTGACTCATAGTGACCCCTCCTTGGGTTTCCGAGACAGTATCACTACGGAAGTAGGATTGCCCAACCTTCCTTCCGAGGAGTGGCTGGTGGATTTGAACCGCCAGCC